TGCAAACCCCGTTACCTCAATTCAATTCCTGGCCACAGATAGATTCTGAACGAGACCGATTCAATTCCTGGCACAGCTACATTCTGAACAGGGCCGATTGTCCCCAGCCCAGCCATGCTGTCACCAGTCCGCGCTGAACAGCGTGGTGAAGTATTGTCAAACAAATCTCCATGGGGAGGCCGTAATTCGGAAGCGGATTGACAAAGGGCCCTATTTGTAGGTTGCAATTGTAGTTATTCAGTTTTGTTGTCAGGGTCGTGTCACAAGACCAACGCAGAAGATCCAAGGTTTTGATCTTTCACAAAGCTCATGGTCCATCCTAAACCGCAACTAGCACAAACCATGACAGATTCGGATATCTGATGCACAAATAGAAAAATAAACACTCTCCAGTGTGCGACTATGGTCATCCAGAACAAACCGTACAACGTATAACGATGCAATGCCCAAGCCACAAATCTGAAGGAGACATCACGGCGATACACTCCGCTGCTCCTGGCGCTGTTATCCGGCTTGACCGCCTGAATGTGAGATTGTAGTTGCTGCTCTGCATCTACATCAGCCGTACGGAAGAAACGAGAGCAAACACCATCTGGAACTCCATCTGTTGGCGGAGTTTGATGTTGCCAGGGAATGTCCTCCGGTGGATGACACCACAGACATGCGTGCGTTTGGAGTCGTTCAAGAGTCTTGGCGCCACAACTCAATGGTGCTCATTCGTTCCCTGTGAAGAGCGGCACGCCACTCTATCAGTCATGTGTCTACCGTTATCGTTCTTCAGGCCACATTTGTAAACACGTGAAGAATAACATTTGGACATTTCTAAAAACCTAATTTGTGTTTAAAACTCACGATAATATTTCATCGTTGTTGATTGCAGCTGTTGTTATTGTCACTGCTGTGTTCGTATCCAGCCAGTCGGCACTGTGGTTAGGACGCCCGTCTTGCAAGTGAACTGTTGCAAATTAAAATCCGCTTATCCGTGAGGGGTTCGTACAATGAGTTAGTTGGTGGATATCAGCATTGGTTTTCCACGGATAGACGGGCACGTGCCAAAGTAATGGGGAATTGCCATTTCTAGCTCGGGCCCAGAAACATTTCGTCGAACACAATCCCCACAGTCATGTGGGCAGCGAGAAAAAATTTGAGACTTGCGCAGAAACGGGTTCTACACAACACGTGACCCCTGTAGAACGTAAACATGTTTCCCTTCCACTGTCACTCATTAAATACAATCCCCGTTCTCTTGATCCCATCCAGCAGCGGCAGTGTCTCATGTCATAGCCACGAGGAACCTGCATTGAATAAAGTTCAAAACAGCCCCCAATGCTTTGGCGATGACGACTTGCAGTAATGCGGACAAGTGCTTGGTGTTGACCTAATTAAACCAGTGTGTTTCATGGTCTCTTGAGCGTGCATGCTTCAGCGCATGCATGTGTACGCGTCTGTTGTTTTGTGGGGAGCAGTAGTGCGGTGGTTTAGTGCAGCTGCACTACGAACACAGCCACCCGAGTTCGATGCCCACTCACGGCTATTATCCAGTCAGTGGTGATTATCGGAATCGGTCATGGGCATCTCCTTGATCGGCTCAGCCTTAAATGAGTACCCGCTGTGGTGTGTGTGAACATCAGCAATGGGAAGATAAATCTGACCAGGCAGGCTTCATAGATGCTCATTCATATCAGTCTGTCGAGGCTATATGGGGGAACTTTGTCTTTGTTGTAATCTACTACGTATAGAGCTATTAAAAATGTTTGCAGAACACTCAAAATACCCGCACGTATATTTTGGCAATGCTCAAACTTTAACCTATTAAATATGTTTTTGATTGTTTGTAAAGGTGTCATAACGAATGTGGTATGTATGTTGAACTTCATTATGCCAATCGACACCCTGGCCGCGCTCACTAACGAGACGTTCCTTCTCCCGTGGTTTTTCCAGGTGAAATATTCGAGTAACCAAAAATTACAAAAATAATTGATTTTGAACATCCATCCAGCGAGGTTGACACGGGGTGCCAGCATTGTCCCGGCAACGTGAAGGTCACGAGTGAGTTCCAGTCCCTCTCTGTGAATTGATTTTGCGCATCACCCTTTGCTGGGTCGTTAAATTGTGCACCGCTTTGTTGTAAGTCAACAAAGTGTCTATGCTACGGAACAGACCCAGTACCCGCCGCACAAATGTCTGATGTCTAGCAGTTGCCTAAGACAAGCCATTGGAGAGATGAGAGCCAGCCAAAGCTTGTTCAAACGTTTACATACTTGGATTTGTTTTCTCCGTCTTCCTTTTAGTCATACACACAAGTTTACAAAACAGAGCAGATGGCCGCCTAGCTGGTCGCGGTGTACGTGTGCGAGCCACACGGAATGTCTCGCTTTGGGCTAATTGGTGCGATTGACCTCCAGCCGAGCGTCTAATGATGGGAATGACGCCTCTCACCCAGAGCGTATATATTTTTGGGAATTCTCAAAGCTGCTACGTTTCAGATCAAGCTGTCACGGTTATTTATTTGTTAGTACTCACATTCAAGTTCTGTACTGTATAACATCTGTACCATCACGGGATACCCATGAAATGGAGCTGAGCAGCTGACTGCGCCCTTCCTGCTGAAATAAATCAAATCTAAGAAACAAATAAATACACATTAACTATTTCATCGGCACTTTTATTCTAGATTTTTTTGTGGATAGAGCACTCATCCAAACGTGGTGCATTCTCCGTCAGAATGTTGTGCATTCGAATCCTAATTGAGAGTCGAGTCAACCCAATTTCCAACTCAGGCGGAAGGTTGGGGGGCGGTTGATAGAACGAGTACCACATTGTATGAAGTCAAGCGAAGGAAGCCCTATGGAGAGACTGGTCACCGCTGTAGAAATACGTAATTTCCAGCACTGGCTCAGAATCGCCAACGTATATGAGTGGCTGTTCCGCGTTTGTTTTTGAGCGTAAAAAAACACACACAAAATTGGGGTTTTTCATGGAAGGCTGCCCGCATTTACGATCTCAGGGAATTGGAATTGGCTTGGGTAGCGTTGAGGGGGGCGCATTACGATGCCCTTGAGGCGCTTTATGCCACCTCTAATGTGATTTCGTCTTGTTTCGTGTGGCCTATTTCTCCACAAAATGCCTTTATTAAACGTCCTGGGATTTCAAACAAAAATCGTTTGTGGTTGGGTTGAGGGGAGCGAAGAAAAAAAAACACTTTGACTCAACAACTTCCAAATATGTTCATATTTATTGCGGTAACTGTCACGATTTGAAATATGCTTTTTGCAGAACTGTTTCCATTTTAACAATGAAGGCATACCACATGGGACTTGTTGTTGGTATGCGTAAACAATTGAACTTCAAATCCTTCTGAGTAGAAATGTGTGCGCGTGCGTTTGTGTGGTCGACTCAGCCTCAAATGAGTACAGTACCTGGCGCCATGTGTAGACATCGCCACTAGGGAGAAAAAGGCGGCCCGGCATGGCACTGGCCACTCACCCCCGAGTGTGCCTTGTTCACCTTCATAGGTGCTCGCTAACAACACTTGCCCCAACATTCTGTTAAGGCTATACGGAGGATAATTCGTTTCTTTGTATGGAGCGAGGCATGAAGTGGTGGCGCAGTGGTTAATGCATTGCTTTTACGAACCCTGCGACTTTACTGTTTCGATTCCCAGCCACGGCTAACATCAGTGGTGAGTGCGATCTGAGCCAGTCTTGCCGCTCTCCCTCTTGGTTAACGCAGCCTTACATGCTTCTTCTTGGTTCTTTCGGTAAAGTCACGTAGAAGGGAAGTAATAAAATAATAAAAATTAAACATATAATAAAAATTAAACATATTTTTATTATTTTATTACTTCCCTTCTACGTGACTTTACCGAAAGAACCAAGAAGATGAATCCCTGCAGTCACGAAAGCTTTAAATCGAAAAGCCTTACATGCGTTCCCGGTGCAGTGTATGAACATGAGCACTGGGGCATGATGGTGATCACACACAGCCCTCACGTTGTCCTGAATTAACAAAACGTATATCAACGCATCCACTTGTGATTGTTAAAGGGCTAGTTTGCGTCTCCATGCGTGCGAATGGGAATCTGTGGGCCTGTCAGTAATCTTCCGTCGTCAGTGTTTTCAAGGACAGTTGTATAAATGTGCTGTGTACTTAAATCGAGGGCCAATCCCCAACCGTTAGACCACGATGTTGCTGGACTGTGCTGTTACAAGGCGGTGCTCTTGATGAACACGTGGAAGAGGTGTGTGTCACTATGATCGGCAATCACATTGAGAAACGGCGAAGTGAACGATGGTCGGACGTTATCTGAAAGCTGAACGTTCGGGGATGGAACAATTCACCAACTCCCCCCCCTACCCATCACCCTCCATGGCCCAGTTGTACACAACATTCGGTATTCCCTTGTTATTCGCGAGGGATACGTTCCGGAGATGCTCCTGAATAGCAAATTTCACAGATAGTGATATTGGCCTACAAAAAAGCATATCTTGTAAAATAATTACCTAAAATGAATATGTAAATAAGTAATTAAAGGCATGCGAATTATCACAATAAAATGTATTATAATAAACATAAAGCAAATCAAATTTAATATTAAAGTATTAAATAATAGTTTATCAATGAGATTACTATGAATTATAATGACGATGCTGCGCAGTAGAAGGATGCAGTGACGATGACCTCATCACTTGATCCGATCACTTTCTCGCATCACATTCCCTCTCACCACTTTATCTCTCTGGATGCAGTCGTGTAGAGTTCCAGGTGCGATTCTCGGAGAGCCAAAATCGCGGATTGCAAGTTGGTGAATAACGAGGGAATACACCACTGCACTTGCGTTGAGAAACATTGATTCTTACCCACGTCATTTGATACGTGTAATTGTGAACGCGAGACGCGGTATTGATGTTTCGAAACAGCCCTCTACCCCGAATGCACGAGTTGGACAATATTTTATTGCACACGTTTAATCACACGTTATCTGTCATTTGTGCGTTTAGGATGGAGTGAAGGATGGATATCGCTACTTGGACGAGGAATGCTCCGAAGGTGAGAGACAATTGTCATCAGAAACGTCACATGGTGCTATTTTTTTTCATATCGTGGCTGGGTGGCTCAGTATGGCTCTTTACCTTGTCAGAGCATGCAATTGCGATGACAGGCGCTGAGATCTTTGATTCTAAACCAGGTTCTCAAGTGCTAGCGAGCGCTTAGCATGGTCACCAAATACTGCATTTAAAAATAATATAGTTTTTACATTTGGTTTTTCAATTTAGAAAATAAAAAATAATGTATATGTTTAATTGTCACGCGTTGAATATGCTTTCACATAACTCTGAGATCTGGCTCTGCTCTTAAGCAGTTTATGTATGTATGTATGTTGAACTTCTTTCGTGCTGTACGTAACCAGCCATGCTAATTGGAGATACGGGGGAATGACAAAAAAGAAGCAAAAAAAGCAGCTGTAAAGAAATGAGTTTTCAATCCGGATGATTTAAAATGCATCGCTCCCAGCGGCTTCGTAATATCGGAAGGAAGAGCGTTCCAGACGGCCACAGAAGTGCTACTGAAAGCGCGCGATGCAGTGACCACCATCTTTGTTCGATGGTTTGCAAAAAGCCGCTGCAAGAATGGTCGGAGTTTTTGTGATGGTTCATGCTGCTTTCATGACAACAACAACAATGTCCATGCGATGATCTCTATTCTGCACCTCCGTCTTCTCAATGTAACATTTTGACGGATTCGTTAAATATGCGCGCGTTATAAATTGTGTTTATTATTACTTTCGGGGCATATAGAACATGTCCACGTTAACGTGGATAAAGAAATCTAACATATTCTCTGGATTAAAACACGCCTTTTTCCCGCCTGTATTTTAAAGCAAAAGCGAGCTTGCATCCTGTAAACCAGTTACATAGGGAAGCCTTCATCAAGCAGTAGATTAACACATGCTTGTGAATTATTATTCATATTATTAAGTTGCATTTTGATTTTTAAATGCGTACCTGTTGTGAGTGGTCTGGTCAACTTCAGTACTGGGGAGACAAGGGCAGGCTCTGTCACGTTGCCAGCCAAGTTACAGGCCTCCGTAATGGTTCTAGCCCAGCTCTGGACTCCCTTCCCCCTCCTGGCTCCTACCCCTCCCCGACCACCTTTGTCTTCCCAATGCAACGAAGCCTCATTACTTTTCAGCTCCCCCCCAACTACGATTAGGACTATCCCAACCCCTCCTTATGAATCCCCCTTGTTCTACCGGCATCAAAACTACACCACCTGCTTACAATAACCCACTTCTTAATTTCAAATCATTACCATCATGTGCACAATTGTGTAATTGCTGTAAAGCGCCTTAGCAAAGATGCTAGATAAATCTTGATAAGTTAAGAAGATAAGTGCCAGGTGGGAGTGGAATCTATATTTCAACAAAAATGTACTTATTTATCCAGGAGAGCCCCATTGAGTCTCGATACCGATGATAATACTGGACATCTGTGAAAATTAGCATTATAGCTCATGGGATTCCTCCAGTAGAAATACATATTCTGATTCTGAGTCGCAGCACATTCAATTAAACGGGACTGTGGTTATGTGACGACAAGAGTGTGGCTGCCCTGATGAGTTGTTATAGACTGGCCCTGCCATAGGAATGTAGATTTTCCACCAGTAGCTTCGCACACATCAACTGAAACCAAGATTCTGTAATAGATGTTGAAATAGGGGACCCTTGTCTGGGCGTTGTTTGTGCCCAGTCTGCTCAGAATACATTAGCGATATGCAACAAAATAACTAAGCAGACATAAATACCTACTTCCAAGTATTTTCCTTTTCACATAAATAAGCGCATGGCTTTCTGGGGAGTGGATCTTTTCAGCAGCAGTCGGTTAAATACAAGCAGAAACTCGAGACCAGTTTTGACATTCAGTGACTCGTCAGCAGAGTCAGGATTCCTTGAACCGATTCTGTGCATTTATCGTGAACGTCAGAATCTGTTTCAATTGGGCTCGATGCAGGAATCACTGGCCGTGGAGACAGGGATCTGGTCCCCTTGATTGATTTGCGTCTCACCTAACCCTTGACCCTTTGTGTGATTCCAGACTGCCCGACTTCTCCTCCTCATTTTCCTCTCCTGCTATCGTCTCCTTTCTGTTCCCTCTGCTGCCACCACCACGCCACTCCTTTTTATTTTCCAAGATTACAGCTGGGGCATGCAGTGAATTATGTTTATTATATTTTCCAATGTCCATACGGCCTGCATACTCTTTGGTTCTTTCGGTAAAGTCACGTAGGTAGAAAAATAAAACAAAACATAATATCACGATGTTTCGATCGCAACACAAGTGGTCGTCCTCAGGCGGAAAAAAATATCCAGCAGTGGAACTGCTGAACCAGCGAGAGAGCTGTTACAACAAGAGGTTATATATGTGGCGATGGGCAAGCAAGCGGCGTCTGAGCTGGAAAGGAATTTCATCCCCGGACGCAAGCACATCAGTTGTGTTAATGGGAGAGATTAGGGAAAGAGAGATTAGGGAGAGAGATATGAAATGAGCTTCCGTTGCCACATAAGAGTATCATCCCCGCATATGTGCACAACAGCAGTGTTAATTGGAGATTAGCACTATGTTGATGGGAGAGATTAGGCAGGGAGATTAGGGGGATTAGTAAGTTAATGTCATGTCTATGTGTAACACAAGCTGCGGCGCTGCCAACTGCACTGTGAGGCAAGCGCGTCAACGCAAGAGAACCACCACAACGGTGGTCGCGCCATTGATACACAAAGCCCATCACACAGCTAGAACCATCGGTACATCGAGGCTAAGGGAACAGAATTGACCATGTTAGTGAGATCCCAATCCCGTTAATGCAGAGGCACCCAACAGGGCAATGCAACTCAGAGAGTCGGAGATAACAGCCAAACGGCAGGGAAGAATGGAAGCACCACAGCAAGTTACGACTTTGCTTGGTTAATAGCGTCCTTTCAGCTTATACCCATCTTCTCGGTTGAAATTGTCTCTATGTTTATATATCTGGATGGCTTCATGGACAAATCTTTGATAGTAGCCTGAAGGTTTGCAGAGTACCTTGGTCTCGGAAAAAACAATATCGTGCGCGCCCACTGCGTTATAACAATGATCAGGCACTGCAGAGGTATTGGTTCTGCCGTGTTTCAAATCTGCCTTGTGTTCGCAAACACGGTTTGAGACATGTCGTTTCGTTTCCCCAATGTAACTGCTGCCGCAGACACAACTTAGTTTGTAGACACCAGGGTATTGCATGTCAGGAATGACATCGTTCACAAATGGGATCAAATCACGGATTTTGTGTACTGTATTGAATCGGACCTGGATCTTGTGTTTGTTTAAGATTTTGGAAATATTTTTGGTAACACCTACTATGTATGGCAAGGTAATGGTTTTGGTTGGGTACTCAGATGGTTGTCTCACCATGGTTGGGGCTACAGTTTTGCGGATTGTGCGGTCTGAGTATCCATTCATCTTGAGGGCTTGGTGTACGTGCTCCGGTTCACTGGCTAGGTAGCGCTCGTCGGAGATGCAGCGGGCCCTATGGTGTAGTGTTTTGATGAGGGAGTTCTTCTGGGCTGGATGGTGGTGGGAGTCAGGCTTTAGATAGGAATCCATGTGGGTGGTTTTCCTGTAGACGGAATGTCCCAACGAGCCATCAGGCCTCTTCTCGATCAAAACATCCAGGAATGGTAGCTTGCCATCATTTTCCACTTCCATGGTGAATTTGATGGATGGGTGTATGGAATTGATGTGGTTGAAAAAATGGTTCAGTGCTGGCTGGCCATGTGGCCAGATGACTAAAGTGTAATATACGTATCTCTTCCACAGGCCTGCATACGTTGGCCTTGCACACTTGTTGAACGTTGAAAGGCATAAAAAAATAAAAGAGGATTTAATGGATGCGTCAAAGCATTGGTGAATAACTGGTTTGGATATCAGTCGCCACTGTTAGCCAAGGCCAGGAATCGAACTTAGGCGGCAGGTTAATTGGTGGGGCGTGCTAAACACTATGCACATCGCCACCAGTGTATTGATTTGCGCTTCAAAACTTAGGCAAGAGGTGGTTTGTACGAATTTGTGTTTGTTTGTGTTTTTGCATTGAGCAGTTTTCCAGAAGAGAGGGGAAGGATCAAGTCCCAGGTCTGTGGAGGAGGAGAAGCTGGGTTCTCTTCCTGGTCCCTTGAACTCATCCTTCAAGAAACGGCTCAACTTTAACGTGAGTGCAAACAAAGACAAAGACCCCCCGTGTAGCCTTAACAGGCTGTTGGGTGCAAGTGCTGTGAGCGAGCAGCACCTATGAGGGCCGGCACGGCACGCGAAGGGGTGGGTGGCCAACACCACGTCTCTGTCTCCCCAGTAGTGATGTCTACACACCCCACCAAGTACACATGCACACATGTGCATGTGCGCGTGTGCACATACGCCCACGCAGAGACACTGGTGACCTCTTCAACCTTGTACTCTGGCAGGCGTAAGTGCTGATAATGAACACCAATTAAGGACAGCATCGCACATGAGAGGCTGGTGTCCAGCAACATGCCTGGCTGCCTTTGTCTCTCTGCTGCTGATGGTCCCACAATGCACTAGGTTATTCATTTACATCTGGGCTGACCAAGGAGAGACAATTGGCATTGATATGTGTGGCCATTAATTGAACCCAGGTCTTCAGGATTGTAGCGCAGTGTGCTATTCTCTATGTATGTTGAACTTATGTTGCACCGTACGTAGCCAACCGTTCTAATCGACACGCACACACCCACTCTGGACCAACGCACACCCACACTTGCATGGTAGTAATAATAATTATTAATTAAAACCTTTGCCAATTCATTTTTGGACGAAGGGTGTCGTGGGAGTTACGTGGCCATATTTGAACACGTTCAGATATCACTTACCAATTATGTTAGCCATGGTTGTGGTTCGATATAGATTACATACTTGCACACACATATCATTTAGCCTAGCCTCTTCGCTTGCACAAATCATGAAATTCCGGAATTTGGACTGCCCGTCAGACAATGACGTCTGAGCTTGAGGTAACACGTGCGTGTTTTTACCCCACACTGCCACAGTGCCACCTGCTTAGATGATTGTACCCGTGACGATCATGTGTGTGCGTGTTCATGTGCATGACTGTGGGGAGCAGTGGCATCGTTCTTTAGCGCTCTGGGCTACCAACCCAGCAACCCGAGATAGATTTCCGCTCACGGCCAACATTAGTGACGATTATCTGAACCAATCCTGGGCCTCCCCTAGGTTGACTCAGCCTCAAATCGTGCGAGTTGTGGAGCGTGAACATCGCCACGAAGAAAACAACGGTGGCTGGGCGTGGTGCTCGCCACTTACCCGCTCGTGTGCCACCCCAGCATTCATCATTTCTGCTGCTTGCGAACAGCATGTGCCACAACAGTTTGTTTCAGCTATAAGGGGGGGGTATTTGTATTTGTCTTGTATGGCTGTAAGGTGCAGGAGCTCATTGGTTATCGCACTGCACTACCATCCTGGTGGCCTGCATTTGAGTCCTAGCAAAATACATCGGCGGCATGTGATATCTAAAACTGCCCTAGGCGTTTCCTAGGTTGACTCAGCCATAAATGAGTACCTGCTTCAGTGTGTAAATGCCGACACTGCGGAGATAAAGTAGGCCTGGTATGTTGCTGCGCTGATTTTAGGTGCTTCCGAAAAGCACGCGCCTCCTGTGGTCCACGAGGTTAATCTCAGCGTGTCCATGTGGCAGTGCTATTATGTCCACGCGGATTGCGTGTGTGCTCTGCGTGGGTTCTCTATTATTTTACCACAATACTGGCGATTATCTCAACCAGTCCTGGCCATACCATAGGTCAACTCAGCCTTAAATGAGTACCTGGTGCAAGGTGTAAACATCAGTGGGTGGACAGTGCCGGCTCGGCGTGGTGCTGGCCACTCCATCACGTTGCGTACCGTGCCAGCCTTCATCGATACTCGCAGGAAGCACTTAACGCGTAGGTTTTTGCAGCCAATATCGCATTTTGCAATAGATTTTTGTGTTAGGTCACGTAGTCACCTGGCCACATTAATGTATGAACAGTTCCCACGAACAAATTTAGCAATCGGATGTACGTATGTACGTAGAACTTCTTTTACACAGTACGTAGCCAACTGTGCTAATCATAGATTTATCTAAAATGCAGCCATCAGATGTATCTAATTGCTAAATTTGTTTGGAAATGTTTATTTTAAACTTTACAGTGAGCTAAAACCAGAACAATTGGCTTATTAAACTCTGTCGGAACACCAATTAAGGGCAGCATGGTGCCAAGCAACATGCCTGGTTGCCTTCATCCCTCCAGTGCTGATTGTCACACGCTGGACTATGTATAGGTACCGTTGTGGCAAGATGTTAACTACCTCACCTGGTATGCAGGAGCTCGTGGGTTAAGTCCCGACCCTGACACCTGTATATTTGGAGTGTGTGTGTTCTCCCCAGTGGATGGATTCTTCTCTGGGTCCTCCGTTTTTTCCTTCCACATTTATACAGATGCGTTTATAGTATTTGGCTGCTATAAATTTCCAAGTGATAAGCCACTTCGTTGAGCTATCATATGTGGCGAGGTCGCTTCTAAAAAGAGCTACATGGCTCAGTGAGCCTTACCTCGTAAAATAAAAAAGGTTATTCATTTAATCTGAGCTGACCAAGGAGAGACAATTTCCATTGATATGCATGGCCATTGATTGAACCCAGGCCTCCAGGATTTTAGAACAGTGTGCTAATCCCCATGCCACCAATCTATATCGACACACACACCCACACTTACATGGTAGTCATGATAATTATACATTAAGGCTCGTTGCCAATTCATTGTTGGACGAATTTCTACCGACACTGTAACATCGTGGGAATTATGTGGCCATAATTGAACACGCTGTTCAGTGCATGTTGGTGAAGGGAGACCGAGGAGCAGTTTAGATATCACTTACCAATGATGCGAGCCATATTCTATGGTTCTTTCGGTAAAGTCACATAGATTTTTTTTATAACAATAAAATAATAAGAATGAAAATAAAGTTAATAGAAAAAGAATATGAATGATTTTATTTCATTATTTTTTATTCACTTTATTTTAATTTTTTAATTATTTTATTATTATTATTATTTTTCTATCTACGTGACTTTACCGAAAGAACCATAGATTATTATTTCCTGCAGTCACGAAAGTTTTAAGCCAAGATGTGAGCCATGGCTGGGATTTGAAATCAGACCACATACTTTCACACTTGTACACCGCTTGACGATTTAATTTGGTTAGGCTGCGTCGGGTGCTGAAGGGTTCTTAACAACACAAATGTCTTCAAATCATTGCGCGGCCTAACTAACAACAACATAAATTATGACTCGTAACAGCACTTGCCCCGACAGTCTGTTAAAGGCTGTATGGGGGATCGTTGTCTCAGTATGCTGTGTATTTGTATCATTGTTTGTGTGTGTGTTTTTCCTTTCCCTCTTATGTTTGCTTACACTTACACGCGTTTGACTTTCTCAGTATATATTAGTCTTTGTGCATGCATCGGCACCAACACGCAAAGTCACATTCGGACGTTCACCGCAAACAGAAGCTCCTGCACACGGCACCGCCACGAATTAGGCACACAACGTCCAACCACAAAATACGCCTCAGTATGATTTATATATTCCTGAGGGAGATGGACTTTTGGCAGATTGCAAAATCTAAACACCCCCCACACCCCCGTATATATAAAGAGGAATGTTCCGTTACTAACCACCAACATATGAGGGCACTCGTAATAATTTGCCCTCGCAAGGGATTCACAACTCTGAACAAATGACACAGCAACATTATTTGGTTCTTTCGGTAAAATCACGTAGATAGAAAAATAATATATTACTTTCAACATAGCAGAAATGTAATTTACCGAACTCGAAAAATACTTGAAAACAAACTTGGCTCGAACCTTCTCCTGATTGCCAGAGCAAGCAAGGCTGGTTTGAACTTTGTGCCATTCCACCTAAATAGGCGCTCGCTAACAGCAAATAATCTCCATGGGTGTGCTGTGTTTAGAACATTCGAATCGAGCGTACATTGCAACTTCACATTTCAGTCCAGGGTAAACTCAGGCCATAATCCCTCTGGGGACGATTAAATAAGTACCACTTTGAAGGACATCAAACAGCGGTAGTCTTATGAATAGACTGGATACCACCATGGGAATGTGGAATTCCCATCGCTGGATGTCTAATTGCGGTCGCAGATGAGTGCCACCCCAATTCCCACATTAACAAAGACATACTCTGAAGTTTACTTGACTCCTACTAATAATAATCACACGTACAGCATCTATATATATATATGCGAGCACATCTCAGGATGCTGTGAAAAACTGGGGAGACAATCAGGTTAAAGCAAGGGAAAGAGCCGGGGGGGGGGGGGGTTGGGGGTGGGAGCGATGTCGCAGCCTCATCCAGGGCAGAACAAGAACAGAGCAGAAGCCCGGTCAAAGCGTCAGAAGAGGCTGCACAGCAGAGCCGGGCAACGGGGCGGCGAGCGAGGGGAGAACACGGGACGGGACCAGAGGGCAGATGACGACACTGCACACAATCGGCGCTGACAAGGCAGAGATCTGCCTGAAACCGTATGCTGCCCCTGTCTGGCAATTTCGATCCTCACAAATCCGGACACCCAAAGTGTACCGAGGACAAATCTGCGATCAATGGCTGACAGAGCTTGCAGTGTAGTCAGGCGCCTCGTTTGTGGAACGTCTTGCTCCAGTCCCTTGGGGATGCTCCGACAGTCGAGGTTTTTAGGGCTCGTTTAAAAACACGTTTAATTTATCTTGCATATCCATCTGTGCGGGGTTGTTTTGCTCTTAGTGTTAATGTTAAGTTTTTTTAACTGGCATTGTTTGTAAAGTGCTGTGAGGCCTCGTGTGAAAGGCGATATGTAAAATGTATTTTTATTTACTTAGTAGGCATGGCAGCATCTAGGCCTGTGGGCCAATTGCCACCGAAGTTTATGGGTCCAGCATCATCAGCATCCAGAGGCTTTTGGCCCCGGTAGTCCATGAACAACATATCGCTGTTTCACGTAAGAAAGCAATGCCGAAGGCCAAATTCACGCATCTGATCTCATCAGATCTCGGGAGATTTGGTATGCTGGGCCTGGGCTCGTGATTGGATGACAGACCACCAATGCATTGCAGGTGTTGGAGGCATATTATTGTTGTCTATGAGGTGGCAAGCAGACGGAAATTCACATGTAGATTGCATTTATTGTGTCTGTCTGCGGATATAAATGATGTTTGCGGAGCCTTGAGTCTTATCCCCTCGTATGTTTGGGTTTTCTCTGGTCATTAAAATGTCCTCCCACGTGCCAAATTCTCATTAACGGCACAGTGGTCGAACACCCCAATACGGAACCCTCCTGAAAAAGAGCCGTGATGCGCAGTGAGACTTTCCTGGGTACATAATCGGCATATCTTGACGTGTCTTTGAAGTTTGGTTAGCGCGTCGTGTTTTTACTACAATTATATTTCAATCCTGACGATGCACGCGCGTGTGTGTGTGTGTGTGCATATATATGTACAACATCAGTTGAGATTGGTGTCTGAAAACCTCGCATGGGCCTCTGTTAAGTTGAGCTCATTCTGAAAAGGAGTTCAGCGCCTGATGCCTTGTGTCAATATCGGCACTCTGCAGATCACAGGCGGCAAGGCTCTCGGCGTGGCATTGCCACCCTGCCGTGAGCTGTTCTCCGTAATTGCTGTTTGCGCTCCGGATTTGTCCCAGTGGTCTATCCAGACAAAGAGAGGGGAATGGCGAGCGTGCATTGCATGCGAGTGTGTCCTTGTGTGCGCATGTACACTGCATGCGCGGCGCAAACACACACTGCGGTGACCCAGTGATTAGTACGCTGCGCTACGAACCCCGGCAAACCGAGTTGGAATCCTGCTCACGACCAACACCAGTGACGATTATCTGAGCAGGTCCTGGGCCTCCCCTTGGTCGACTCAGCTTCAAATCTCCACCGAGTGCTTGTGCTGTAAACATCATTATGAAGACAAAGGCGGCCGGACATGATGCTGACCACCCAACCTCTCGTGTTCCATGACAGCCTTCATAAATGCTCGCTAATAGCACTTTCCCCAAGAGTCTGTTTCGACTATATGGGGGATCTTTGTCTTGTGTGCATGCGTATCCATCGTAAACCTGCGATTGATTCCTGCTCATGGCCAACATCACTGGTTTTTATCTGAACTGAACCTGGGCCTTCCCTAGTTCGACTCAGTGTTAAGAAAATGTCCTGCCTGGTACTGTGTGGAAATATAACTGGGTAGAGAGGTGGCTGGGTATGGTTCTGGCCGATTCATCCCTGCCAGCCTTCACAGCTGCTCACTCATAGCAATTGCCCCAAATGTCTATATGCCCAAATGGGATGTGTTTTGTCTTTGAGTTTGTGGTTCAGGGAGTCTGGTGAGCTGCATTTGATTCCCATTCAAACACATTCATGACATGCGGTATCCGAAAATACCCTTGGTTAACTCAACCCAAAATGAGTACCTGGTGCTGTATGCAAACATCAGTGTTGGCGATACAAAGGTGGCTGGACATTGTTCTGTGCGGACCACCCCTCGTGCACCATTTAGGCCTTAATGTGTGCTGATTGAATTGTAACAACGAAAATCTGCAAGCTGATTAATATAATGAAGGCAGTTCTCAATCTGTACATACTGCCAACGTGGACGTTGGCTGATGTTGATGTTGAAGTAAGGCACTTGTCAGATGGATATTTCGACGGGTATGAGGAGGATCCTTTTGCGTGTGCGTGTCTGTGTGTGTGTGTGTTCTTGACTTGTGTGAAAGCAGGAGATGGAATGTGATGTTTCAGTGGCTGAGGGCAACAGGCAGGAATGGACCTTTACGCTCTATGACTTTGACAACAGTGGGAAAGTGACTCGGGAGGTAAGCCGCACTATTATTACGGGCCGGGGGACGGCGGGGGGTGGGGGCTTGATTCCTCACTGAATATTTCCCAGGTCGTTGGTAGATAACTACATGATGAGTAGCGAGCGGGTATGCTGGATGCGGTGTCCCGAGAATGGAATTAATTTCCGGGTCGCCAACCCAGACAGACCTGGCTGAAATTAAACGTTTGCTTACAGAGCTCTACACTGTCATCTGCTTCAGTTCAATGCGATTGAATCCAATGCCGTGTATTTAATCAGATCAATTGTTGACATTCACCTCTCTCTGTTATATCATACATACGTGGAACCATTGTTGCACTGGAAAATCATCATCACTCAGCCATGGTCAATCCACTGCTGGATGAAGGCCTAGTCGAGCTGGTATCAACTCTCACGATCCTGCGATGTAACAATCCATCGAGGATCTGGAAAATATTCCCAAATAAATATAACAATAACAAATCTGCTGTCCCATTGAATAAGCATAATTGACAGGCTCAAACAAGCATTAAAACGTGCTTATTCATAAGCCTGTTGATGGCCCTGTCCTAGGAGTGAATATTCCGACATTCCCTTGGCAATGGCCAGTCCCGGCATAGGATAATCACCGTGGATTACACCACACAGCGGTACTGATTTTATTGACCCCATGAGGATGTGGGCCCTGTCAATTCCCAAGTGGGCACTGAAGGGTTCTGTCACTGTCCCACCTGGCCGGTGGAGTGTGATCTCCGTTGAAGGCCGCACTTCACCGGATTCATGACAGCTGAAACACAACAGGGCGCCACGGTGGCGATGTTAACAACCTCGCCTGGTATACAGGAGGTCGTGGGTTCGATCCGTACCCTGACGCCTGCTGTATATTTGGAGTTTGTGTGTCTCTCTCTCCGTGGTCGCGTGGACTTTCTCTGGGTCCTCCGGTTTGTCCCTCAACATTTAGAATCAACGTGCATTCAGAGTATTTGGCTGTTATAAATTTCCACGTGATCAGCCACTTCGTTGAGTTATCATTCGTGGCCAGGTCGCTTCTGAAAAAGGGGCGTATATCTCAGTGGGCCTTACCTGGTAAAATAAAAAAAAGTTTAGTTTTTAGTTTAGTTTACATCGTCGCTTTGGCGATTTCCACCACTGCTGGTAACGGAGACGTTGGAACGTGTTTTGCTCCCCCAGTGAAATCAGACAAAGCGTGAACCTCCGCCAAGATGTGAATGTTGCTCTCCCAGCCGATCTGTTCTCTCTCTTTCGTCGGTCTGCCTGCAAGAAGGGCCATTGCCTCAAACATTAGCCGAGTGTATACTGTGTATACGTGTCGTTAGAAGTGATGAAGGGGCGGTGATGTTTTTGTGCTTCGTACCCCTATACAATACAATACATTACCTTAATCTTTACATGCTGTGTGCTGCGTATATAAAATAATCATAATATAAAACCCACACACGTACGTTTTCAAAACGGCTCCAGTTTAAACCAACCCACGTGCAAACGACTCTCCCCACAGAGGCCATGAAACTGCACAAATCTCCAGCAGCAGGCAACGTGGGGCATGGTTTCCTCCAGTTCGCAAATGCAACGCGTGCCTTGCCTTGCATTAAACCGAGCTTTACTGGAGTCAGGTGTGGGCAGACTCATTACCCTTCCCCGAACGTTAGGCTGCATTTTCCTCCGACATTGTGTTTCCATGCCGGTTTGCAAGCCACATGTTGTACTGCACACACTCATTTTGTTTAACGGAGCAATGAAACGAAACTGGCTTTGTTTTTGCCTCGAAAGTAAGTAAGCATCTGGATTGACTGGCTGTGTTCCAGTTATCAGGTTTACCATGGTAGGAGATGGCTGAATAGCCCGGGCGGGCCCATAATGGGCCTTGCCAGCGCACTCAGTTGGGCACTTCTTAAACCCTGGGTTCAAGTCCAGACAGCTGCTGGTTAATGAAACAGGTTTTTCAAGAATAGAAACTCTGATGCCCTCAGATCAGTGCTAGGTGGCGGCGCAGCCCTGCAACGCCTTTCTCACGCCACCGCTGGTGGAAGGGCCTCCACCAGGAGAAACTCCCGTGAGCCCCTCGAGAAGGACCCTTGGCCTACTCTTCCACGTTGGCCAAGAGGCGAGGGGAGTCCCCGCACCTGATCCCACGCCACGCGACCTGATGATTGACTCCCTCCCTGCGGTGTAACTATTTATATTGCTGGGTGGACAAAGGGAGATGGATTGTGAAACTCGCCCCTTGGTGTCAACTGCTGCCTTGCGCAATTGAACGAGCGGCCTCTCTGACCATCCCACCATTCCACCGGGGCAGCAATGCCAATCAATAACCCACACCTGTCAACAGCCCCTTGTCAGTGCCCTACCTTATTACATACCAGTGCAGACCTTATTGGTCACCCCGTGCCCCTTATACATCTCAACGTTCATCCTACAAAATCCCATCGCAAGGAAGAAACACAAACTAATAGACACTTTCTTTTTGCCCGTATTGAAACGGCCGTACGCCGTATGGAACTGAAAACTCAATTTCCCTGTACAAGAATACGGGGTAAACCGTATGGGTTGACAGCTATGACTACGATTGCACACAGCACATTTACTTGTGTAACTTCGACATACATACGTACACACACACACACATTGGTTAATTTGCATAATTTGGCAATCGCCATGTCTGAAGGCGAAAATGTGTAAACACGTAATGACATAATTGCCATTATTATAATTATAACAAAGGAAAGTGCGAAGGACTGCCATCTAGTGTTGAGTGAGAGAGAGGCTCGTTTAAAATAGTCCAGAATTAGTTCTGCAGTGTCATCTTCCTGAGCCATTCCCTCGCGTGACATCTCCTCTCCTGCCTTTGCAATTTCGTGAAGCAATTGTATTTACCTATTACAAGATGACACGACGCTACAACTTTTTTTTAAACACAATTGCATCACAAAATATGTCCAACATTCCTCAGCAAAAGATGTGTTATGCCTTGCTTATTGAGTTGAATGATGTGTTTACATGAGTTCTTGACTTGGAGGAATGAGATCCCAACTTCGTGGAATGTTCACAGCTATGCTTGAGGCCCCCACCTCCGAGCGTTGGACATATTTATTCCTCTTTATCCTTCTGGGAAAGTTTAATTGACTTTACAATTTCAACTGCTTTGCAATGCTTCCCTGAATTAGTTTTAGTATCTTGATATTTGCAAGCAATCTTTCATGCTTAGAGAAACAGCCACCTACATGTTAACGAGGAAATCACACGAAACTACTTGCTGTACTGCCTCCGATATACACAAGATCATTGCCTTACATTTGGGTGCATCTCACATTTCCACCACTGCACGTCTTACCAACCTTGCCTCTAAGTACACCCATGTGTTATGAAACTAACCGTTTTCCCTGGATTATGACACGCACTTTCTCCCCTGTATTTTTATGCAAAAATTGGGGGTTGCTTCTTATAATCTGGTAGGTGTGTGCGCGTGTGCGTGTGTGTGTGCGCGCATTGTGGGGAGCGGTAGTGTAACAGTTAGCGTGCTGTGCTACGAACCCGCCGACCCTAGTTCAATTCCCGCTCACCGCCAACACCAGTGACGATTATCTGGTCGACTCAGCCTCAACAAATAAGTACCTGGTGTGGTGTGTCAACATCACCACTGAGGAGAAAAAAGGCGGTCGTGTTGGCCACTCACTTCCTCATGTGCCATGCCGGCCTTCATAGGTTCTCGCTCACAGCCCTTGCCCCAACAGTATGTTCAGGCTATACAAGGGATATTTCTCTTTGTCTGTGTGCGAGAGAACATATTCGTATAACTTATTGAGACAGGCCCAAGTTTGGCAGTGCATCGTTCTTTCCGGAGCGTCTTATAATGCAGAGAGCGCGGTATCACTTTTCGAGCTCTTCTGCACGAACAGGGAAACGTGCTTCCAGATGCAATAGTGTAGCCCCCACCCCCCGCTCACCCCACGTATTTCAAACAAGCCTCTGGCTATAGTCTCACCATGAGAGGTCAGCTAAGGAATCCCCTTGTGAGCCACTAAGCCTTATTTGGGACGTGGCTTGGCATGGGGTGGTCGAGCGCGAAATGTTGTTGCGGTTGCAGGAGGGGTTTGTGGGTTTTGGCGAACGACCGTGGTTTCGCGTTGGCTCGCCAGGGAATATGGGCAAGGTGGCCCGTGCCCGCGGTGTTTTTTTTTTGGCCGAGTATGAACAAGAGACAGGGCGGGGATTTTTGTCGTTTGCGTTTCCGAAAATTCAGGGAGAACTGTGAGCCATGAGTTTAGCACGCGACGATGCCCTTTCGTTTTTACGCGAGTGTATATAAATATAATTGTGGCTGCGCGTGCACGCACGTACGCGCATGTGTGTGTGCCACAAAATACGTGTCATTAAATTTTTTAACTGTACGTGTGGATGTTCAAAAAATTATTAATGGGCCTGCACAGTGGCCAGCAACTTACTGACACGTAAAAAAAAAAATAACAAGTGCCTTTATTATTAACGCTGCCGTCTTAACAGAACAAATTTTAAGTATCAGGTTAACGTTTCAATCAGTGGGCCCTAATTCAGAGCAGAAATGGCAAAGAGACTGAGCGATGTACTCGAGTTGACTCTCACGATGGTGCAATGCCTTGAAAATGCTGGGAAATAGAAACAAAAGTATTGAACACCTGAACCGTTTCCCATGAGCAGAAGACTCCATGGCAAAAGTCCTCTAAGCAGACGAGATAACCGTGTAAATTTGAACTTGTCCAAAAATGTGCATTGATCTGTGTTAGGGGAAGCCCCAAAAAATGCAATCTCCAACTACGAGGCAACATTCCTACCCTCTCTGCTCTGAAGAAGAGCCGTTGTCCAAAATGTTATCCTGATGTACGTGTTTTTGGGTTCTGTGGCAGCATTAATGGTGGTTTTTTTCTAACCTGTAGTATGTGTAATACGAGAGTTCATAATCATAGTAGTACATCATTTAAAGCCCTTTGTCAACTGCTGGTGGATGAAGTGCACGTTGGGGTAGAGGTGGGAACCAGGGGTTTCTAGGTCGCCTTCAGATTGTCGCTTGCCACATATCATCTGCGGCTGGGAATCCTACACCTGCCATCTGGAATGTGGAATTTCCACCATCAGCTCATCGGCAGATGAGCAATGCCTCGCACTGTTTGAGCAGGGGTACACTTTGGGCCATGACGCATATTGAGCACGTATATATGTACAGAATATGTATAGATACACGCACACGTACAATAATAGTCTGTGGGTGTCTCCTAGGTCAAGGCAACAGAGCACTTTTTGCACTGTATGGTCAGGGGAACATTGTGTTTGTGATTATTATATTGGTAAACGTGTGTGAGTAGTAATGATAGTAATCGACAATACAGATTTTTTTGGATTAGATCGCGTAAATATATAAATGTGTCGTTAAAGCCGCCACCACCCAACACAGCCAATAAACCAGTTAAACTAACATCTGTGATGTTAATGATGATGATGTTAATGATGATGATGATGCCTCCACCAGGATATTGCCGGACTGATGCACACAATCTACGAGGTGGTGGACAACTCTGTCAACCACTCCCCCAACAACAGCAAAACTCTGCGCGTGAAGCTGAGCGTCACGCCAGACCCGAGCCAGCGGCGACGAGCGAATACCGGTACTGAGACGCCGAAGTGACCCCTGCTGTGGCCGTCTCCCCGTGTGGGTGCCCCAGTAGCGAGGAGATGTTAACTACCTCGCCTAGTATACAGGAGGTCTTGGCTTTTATCCCGACACCGACGCCTGCTGTATATCTGGAGTTTGCGTCTCTCTCTCTCTCCCCGTGGTCGAGTGGATTTTTTTCTAGGGTCCTCTGGTTTTTTCCCCTCTACATTTGGTAATATGTGTTTAGAGTATTTGGCTGTTATAAATTTACACGTGATAAGCCACTTCGTTGAGCTATCATTTGTGGCGAGGTCGTTTCTGAAAAAGAGCTGTATAGCTCAGTGAGCCTTACCTGGTAAAAGAAAAAAAAATTGTTTAATTGTTTACTTCATAGTGTTTGTGTCTGCAGCAAATACACAGGGCCTTCCTTCCTTTAGGGGTGGCCGATATATCATTTTCGCGATACGATATTAACTTTCACGATATGACGATTATGATGTTTTATTTACATTACCTCGTAATTGTGTTTCATATTTTAATCTTTTTTGTTTTTGTTCTTCGGTGCACTTATTGTATGATTAAGGATTTATTTAAAAGTTGTTCAACGGCCGTTCACTCGACTTTAGCCTGCAATAAGTCTTCTAATCATTGCAACCCTACAGCCTGTAACACTTCTAAAGCACATGCTTTCAGTTATACAAGAAACAATTAACGAAATTAAATTAACATGGAATTTATTATGTCATATCACCACCATAACATCAATCACTTCAGGAAACATTTTACAACTCATTAATTTACATGGTAATCATAGTTTATCTTCTTCGTTTAATTATTAATTTGAACCTGTAATTTTTTTAACTTCATAATTTCAAGTTAGGAAGTCAAATATGTATATAAAAAAGTAGCAATACTCACGTTATGATGACACTGAGAAAAATGGACGATGCCATTACCATGGGTCTTATATCGTATTTTATACCGTGAAATTGTTACATCACGACGACCTTCGTAGCCTTATAGATTGTGGAGAGACAAGTGTTATTAACAATACTGTCCTAGGCTGGCACAGCACATTAGAATGTCATGTACTTATTTAAGGATTATTTAATCTAGGGGATGTCCAGTAATAGGTTCAGATTCCACATACTACTGATGTAAATTCACGTATATAAAATTTGGTCCGGAAATGAAACGTTTAAAAAAATGTATTTAACGACAATACCCACGTTATGAGGACTCTGGTCATTATTCTGGTTATTTGGACTAAATCTCTCGCCATGCACATCATAAGTGGCAAGTGGTATCCGAACCCATTGCAGTTATCTTTGAGGTCAATTGTGCCTTGTGTGCAAACATCGCCACGCATGAGACAAAGATGGTCAGTTGTGCGTTGTGTTGATAGCATCATCCCTGCATGTTCTGTGATCTCCTTAATGGGTGCTCGCTAACAGCCTAGACACCACAGCAATGTGTATAATGCCGTTGATGTTGTTTTTACGTCCTCGGTTATGTCAGCGTGTCTCTGTGAGTTACCGTGCGTTTTTGCATATGGGTATGTCTCAGCGTAAGCATGTGTATCTACATACGTACGTGTGTGTGTGTGTGCATGTGTATCTACATACGTACGTGTATATATGTGTTGTGATGTGGGGAGCGGTGGCACAGCAGTTAGTGCACTGCGCTACAAACCCGGCTTCCCGAGTTACATTCATGCTCATGGCCGACATCAGTGGCGAATTTAAACTCATCCTTTAATGAGCAACTTGCCTGGTGTATAAACATCAGCACTGGTGAGACAAAGGCGGCCGGGCATACTGTTGGCCACCCTCCCTCTTACGTGCAAGGCTGGCCTTCATAAGTGCTTGCTAACAGCAGTTGCCCCAACAATCTGTTCAAGGCTTCGATTAGCATGGTTGGCTACGTACGGTACAAGGAAAAATGGGGGATCTTTGTCATTTGGAATTTGTGGACCTAGCACAGCGGTGACGTCACCACCAGTTAGCGGTGAATTGCGGCTGTTGTTGTTGTTGGTATTGTGCATGCCTGTATGTCTATGTATTGTGGGGTTGAGGGGGAAGGCAGTCGAGCAATGCTGAATCAGGTGACCTGAATTTGATTTCCAGCAGTGAGATCTGAATCTCGCTTGCCTGTACGTTGAGCTTGAGTGTCTCTATGAATGCCTGCATGCGTCTTTATGTCTGAATATCTGTCTATGTGTCTGTCTATGCTTCCCGCCATGTTCACACAGACGTACAGGGGACATGGGCCGGTGCCACGGGGAGCCCCGACGGGGTGGGCGGTCCTGACAAACGGAACCTTCGGTAAGAGTTCAGTCACAAAGAACGGTCGCAGTTAAATGTGTTGCATTTTTACATCCGCGCTCATCTCTCTAAATGGTACCCAGAGCCAGTGGAGGAAATTCCGCATCCTCTCAAAACGCCACTGCTGACTTGCCACCAAGTTATATACTCATCTTATTGACCCCAGAAAGATGATGGATGGAAACGAAAGTAATCGGATTTTTCTAATTGGATCAGATTACAGGCAGTCTACGACTTATGAATGCCCCAATAATGAGCATCCCCACTTACGAACGAGCTTCCGTAAGACCATCCGACTTGCGAACGTGAACTCACACTCGTGAACAGAACCGCTGAGCTATTTGGTTTGGCAAATATACAAAGGTGCAATATTTATTCTTATTTATGATTTTAACAATGCTTCCCTTTTTTGTTGCACCCTAACACACATCATAACACTGACCGTATGTGCATTTAAATACAGTGTATTATTGTGTTCTGACTTACGAACTGTTCAACTTACGAACGGGTCTCAGGAACGGAACCCGTTTGTAAGTCAGGGTCTGCCTGTACATCTGTTGCCCGTGCTGCCACTGGGGCGCCATGGTGGCGAGATGTTAGCTACCTCACCTGGTGTACAGGAGGTTTTGGGTTCGATCCCGACCTTGCCTCCTATATATTTGGAGTTTGTGTCTCTCTCCCCGTGGTCACGTGGATTTTTCTCCGGGTCCTCAGGTTTTCTCTCTCCACATTTCGAAACATGCCTTTAAGAGTTATTTGGCAGCGATACATGTCCACGTAATAAGCCACTTCGTTGAGCTATGATTCGTGATGGCCAGTGCACATCTGAAAAAGAGCTATATATTGCAGCTCAGTGGGCCTTACCTGGTAAAATAAAATAAAAAAAATTGCCCAAATAGTTTGAGCGTGCGCATGTGAACTACACATTCACCCCTCCACTCCGCTTTTGCTTGCAGTCGGCACAACAGTGACCAGAACCCCCCAGCCAACACGCGGCACCATTACTGCCTGGACGAGAACATAGAGCGGCGGAACCATTACCTAGACCTCGCGGGTATCGAGAACTACACGTCGCGCTTCGAGGAAGGTGCGTTGAAACCGTGTGTCCACGATGACCAGGTGCGAGTAGGCCAGAGCTACTTCGGTGCCTAAATACGGCCTTCTGGGGGGGTCTCCTTTCAAATGTTTGAGATGAGATATGTATGATTGTATGTTGAACGTTTTTCGCGCCATACGTAGCCAGCCATGCTAACCGGAGGTGCGGGGTGAAGGACAACAAACTAAACATAAAAAGTAGTTGTAAAGAAATGAGGTTTCAATCTAGATTTAAACGTCGATGGCTCCAGTGGTTTCCTAATATCGGAAGGAAGAGCATTCCAGACGGCCGCAGAAGCGCATCTGAAAGCGCGCGATGCGATGACCGTCTTTGTTCAATGACCACCCAAAACCCGCTGCTGCAAGGATGACCGGAGTTCACGTGATGGTTGATGCTCCTTGATGCGAGAAATATGTTGTAAGGTGTTTTGATATGCTTTGGCATTTAAGTGCCGTGCAAACGAAAATATATAACGATGGGGGGTGGGGGATTGCCCTTTGTGTGCATCTGTGCAGACACACCAGAAAATATCAAGCAGGAGCAACAGAGCAAGGCGACGCAGCCCCACGGTCGCTCGCACTCGCAGGGGCCCGAGAGTCACGGACCACGCGGCAGCCATCGACCGCACGCTTGCGACGCCGGCGCCGGCCAAGGCGGTGACGCGCCGCCGCCACTCAACCGGCAGCAGGGCGAGGCCTTGGCGAGCAAGGCTCGAACCCAGCAGCAGCTTTTGCTGATTGCGCGTTCGCCGAGGGTCCACGGCAAGCCAGCCACGGCCAAGTCCGGAAAAGCCCTCCGGTTGCAGTCACAGAGCGTGTACGCCCCGGTGCTTGCATCGCCGTCCGAACTGCAGCAGCAGCAGCAGCACGGAAACAAGAAGCACCGGCAGAGGTCACGCGAGGCGCACGGGCGCTACGGGCTGGCGCCCGGGCCGGCGCTCCCGCTGCCCGTAGCGGGCGAGGGAGACGCTTACGGTGGAGCGTATGACGCGGCGATGCCTCTGATGCAGCGGCACGAGCACCACCACTTCCACGAGCACCACCACCACCATCACTACCACCACTACACGGAGACGTGACCGGACTCGCACGCACGCACGCATGCTCGCTCGCTCGTGCTCTCAACCCGCCCGACCGACCGCTCCTTCGCTCGCTCACTCGCCTGCTGACCGGCTTCAGCGTAAACCAGTTTTAATCCCCGCAAATGTACTTCGACGTGACGCTCGCATTCGCGTGGGGCGACGCTCAGCTACGCTGGCTGCCGTGGGCCGGCGGTGGATATTTTATATCACTTTGGCAGTTCATCCACGAGGCAGCCACTGTTGACTTTCCACCCAAAGTGGTGCTTATTTTAACCCTGGAGGGATGGTGGGCTGGGTTGGATCCCGGACCAGGATTTGAACTTGTGACCTTGTGATTGTGAGTGCCTCCCAGCCTCCGCAGCAGAAGTTCGCTTTCACATTTCCTTCAGTGAGGAATGATGGAGGCGTTCCAGTACAGTACAATTCATTTCACACTTTCGTTTTGTTTAATCGAGATAAATGTGCCGTCTATTTACGAATGGCGTACATAACTGTATTTATCCGTTGTGTGTGTTTACCATATTTGCCTTATGTTCGAAACGCTTTAATTTTCCAGCAGTATTGTGTATATGCATGCGTATGCATACATATATGTTTTATATGTGTGTGCATATGCCATATACTTGTACTTGACATACACAGTGGAATATGCGCCTATGGTATATATGCTATAAAATCAGTGTCACTATGCTCTAATGACCATTGAGTGTTCACCTACAACAATCAACCATTTTTGGAATTTCCATATTTCCTCTTGCAGGAGTGGGGTACTCCAAAGGACAACTCTTGTTCATTTCCCACCATGTGTATTTCAGTCTCACCAGGTACGGCTGATGTCACTGAGAATGGAGGGCCCAATTAAGTTATTAACGTGTCAACGCGTAACATATTATTAGCGTGTCAATTTAAAATCTAAATCTCAAGATTTGTTACGCCTTCATTCCCTACCAATGTCGTGCTTTACCCCCGCCATATGTACAGAATATGTACCATAGGCATATAAAATTACACATATACACATGCATATACATGATGTATATTACAATACTTTTATTTGTGTTTGACATAAGGCTCGCCGAGAGAAGAATCTTGTTTAATATAAATACTGAGCTGTGATAGAGGGACTCTGCAACGTGCAGTTTTACATTGGACGTGACGTGTGGGTTTGCGGATGTTTGTGAAGCCACGCTTTGTGGAGACTTAAAGGAAGACGCAACCCTAAAAAAGGACGGACAAAGTAATGGTCTCACCACGGAAACGGAAACTCATAATTTGGCCTGCCAGCCACGGGTGTTCTGGACCAGTCTTCTCGTCTTATGGGCTGCTGATGCTGATGCAGAACAACTACAATTTCACATTCAGGTGGTCGAGCTAGACAATCGCATCAGGAACAGCGGAGTGATGCCCAGCAACATATTTGTTGCTTAATCTCTCTTATATGTTACATTGGTCCAGTCACGTGGCAGATTAAATCCAATGGCGGCTGGTACGTGTGCCAGGGCATTAGGGTGGCGGCCCAACAAAATGTATCTTTAAAAAATATACATCTAAAAAACGGTAATTTCCTCACGGCATATGAAATCGATTCTCCATCAATCTATTTTCAGTAGAATCAATTCAAATAGAATCGGCTCCGAACATTCGATGCAGCACACGAAGGGCGCATTAGAAATTCCTAACCATGTGCTCACTGAGGGGGCGGTTTCCCATTGGCTGATTCACACCCCGTCCCCGGATGCAGCCATGCGAATAGGGGCCGGGCTGGGGCGCCTTGGAGTCCCCCCCTACCTCAAGCCATTCACAAGCCGCTATACGTGTATGCAACCGATGCCCCTGCAAGTAAATGTAGGTTATTCTGAATTGTGAATTGATTGTTTAATTGTCAGGTTCACAGTTGCATTGTTTAGTTAATCATAGGTTAGTTAATATTTAATCATGGTAGCCCTCTCTTCAAACATGCTCCTGTGAATCACAACAACAACCGCAGATTGACCTGCCACACATAGGTTATAGTGCCGTCATTGTGGTTTCCCATTGGAATCCTGTGGACAATTGCTTACATTTCCTGAAATGAAATTTCCTTCAATTCACATTGAGTTTTCTTTTGCAAACTGGGCAAATATGAGGTTTTTTTCCCTGCAACCAACTAACATGGGCGGCTCTCAGCATGCAGCAATAGTCCATGGGCCATTATAAAGTGCTTGTCACGTGATTCACTGTTAATGGTCACATGAAGAAATTGGAACCACTAAAGTTGTGTCACCTCAGGTTTGTACGACAAGTGAGATATCTGGTCTGACTCATGCATGCCACGGTGGCGAGATGTTAACTACCTCGCCTGGTATATAGGGAGGTCGTGGGTTCAATCCCGACCCAGACGCCTCTATATCTTGATCTGCCATTTTAACACGTAGGAGTTTGAGATCAATATTATCCATAATAGAGGTTTTTGGGTTAGATTGCATCTTTTACCAATTCATTAGCGTTAAGTGGTATTTGGTTAGCTTTAAGTGACTGAATGTGATGAGTTTAAGAAGACAGCTTAATCCGCTTGATGCCGAGTTTCTTAACTTTTCTTGCTTGAAGAAAACTATCCTTCCCATATTTGTTAGTCAGTTTAACACGATCTAACCAAACCACCTCTACTATGGAGTTTGCATGTTCTCCCCGTGGTCGTGTGGCTTTTTCTCCTGGTTCTCCGGTTTCCCCTCCACATTTAGAATCAACATCACGCGTTTAGAGAATTTGGCTGCTATAAATGTACACACGATAAGCCGCTTGGTTGAGATATATTTTTTGGCCAGTTCACTTCTGAAAAAGAGCTATATATCTCAGTGGACCTTACGTGGTTAAAAAAGTGAAAGTTAAATAGTTAATTGGAGGCGAGGGGACTCAGAACGTCCCTATGACACCACAGGAGGCCGCTATGGGGCATTCTTGTGATCTCACAATACGCCCCGAGCACGTGCGTGTCGTCAAGCTTACACTCTGCGAATATCTACGAAATAAGACTGAGCATTATATATTTTTTTAGGTTGTGTCTTCGCACAACCACAAATTGCATCTGTTGGTTGTTGTTGGTGGGTTTTTTTTTGTTATGGTTGTAACAGCTGTTTCTGAAATGAGGTGCGAGGAGAGTCAAAGAAACGAACGAGATGTACGCTGGAGAACAAACCATGCAAGGATTCGGGGGTCCGTGGTGGTTGGCGGTTTGCTTCCAGTGGGGGGTTTTGATTGTCTTGGAACGGCAGGGTAAAAACAAAAATGGCGTCGAGTTTGGCATATAAATAACGAAGCAGATGAGAGGGCACGGACAGTTCTAAAAGTGTTCAAGAACCCGTGCCTCATTAAGTTAAAGGCAATACAGTAGTTATGGCTCGGGTAAGGGATACACTCAGCCACGTTATGGCGTACTGGGTGGCACTTAGAGGAAGGGGATCTTACGAACGTCATGTGTCCGTTACCTTAGTACCGTAGTGGCACATGCTGGCCAGTTTCATGAATGCAACATTTTTTTCCAAATAAGAGATCCCTGTCAGCGTTTAATTGTGTGGTTATATAGAGTATAGACACAGGTCCTCTTAGCCATATGTAATTTATGTCTAAAGGAGTGAATGAACTTGCATTCTAACACGTCACGAAACGTCTCAGAGTGAAGATCCCCCTCCCACCTATTGGCAGCTGCTGTGTCCCTTGCGCGGCACAAGGCGACTCAACGCCCTGCGCTCAGCGATGGGGGTAGTCTGCCAGTAAGGGTGACATTGATTGCTGTGTGAGTTAATTTTTGGATGATATTTTTTCGGGGCAAATTTGGACCTTGATTAGCGTTGGATATTTTGTTGTTGTGGGGGAGTCGGGTGGGGGTGGGCTGGGAAAACCCGGAGGAAAACCTTGCAAAAGAGGGGGATAACAGACTGAAGGGTAACCGAGTTGGGTATCAAACCCAGGCCCTTCTTGCAGTGAGGCACAAGTGTTAGCACAGCGCCACTCTGCCTGCCACTGTTCTCATTGACTGAGGATCCATATGTATGTGTGATCTTCCCCTGAGTCTAGGCGATTACGTAAAAAAACACTTAATGGTTGAGACCTGAGTTCGATTCTGGGTCTAGCCATCTATGATTAAACATTGTTATTAGTGTAGTCAGTTGATGGTCTCAGTTGTCGATGACGACTTCATAAAAATATAAATACATGTGGCGATTCACTTAATTTGACCAATGCACATAGCACATATTTCAGCGTGACACTTCGTTGTTGCTATACATTTTGACAAAATGTGGTAAGCAGGAGGACATCTAATGTTGGGTCTTAGAGGCATTCGATGTGACTACAGAAGTAGTTCTGTAGTGTCATCCTCCAAGGTTGAAGGAGCTCGGTTAGGGCACTTTTTGTTCACCAATAACACATAACTCCTATCACGGATTGGATTTAATGGATATGAAAATATGTATGCTGTATTTAAAAAAAAAGCAAATATACTAGCACTGGCCTAGAAACGAGGCAGGTCAAATCGTTATCCCTGGTCAGACGAGCATAGATTTGTGCTCATTTCCAGTGGTGGTTCTGAGCCATTGGTGGAAATTAGACATTTCTATGGTGAGAGGGGGAGTCTGGTGCCCAGCACTGCTGACCTCCAACAGTGATGGTGCCATAGTGCCTCCCTGTGGCTCAAGCTGAACAACACTGGCAGTACTTTCCTCATCAGCACGCCACGAAAACAACTTTGAATCCATCGTTTTCGACAATGACCCTTCTATAGGGCACAACTGAGGGAGGAATGCAAATTATTGGGACTTGACAAATATATTTAACGTAATAAATGACAATTTATTTTCAGTTGTCGATTTTTTAAAAATGTCATCTGCTGCCCTGTTTTTCTCTCTGCTATGATAAAAAAGCAATTTCCCTGAAAACATTAACGTGTTGCGTTCCTCACAGTGAAAACCCTTCAGTACAATCTCATTACACAAGATATGCAGCGAGCTTGCAGTCAGATAATAATGGCCTGCAGTCATTTATTGTCGATTGGAAAGTGACTAAATAGAAAATAAACAGGTGAACTACATTTATAAAATGGAGGTGGTATGTGTCAATATGTAGAGTTTGTTTTTAGCTTGCAAATAGTTTGCCTTGGATATGCTCCTAATCCAAGGTAGAACATTTACAACGTGGCCACTGATAATCGTCACATGACATGCGATGTGATTGGAAATTCCACTAAATTTAATATAGTAACAATTCACAATATGTCGCAATACAATTACACGTACATTTAGTAACATATGGCAATAAAATGTGCAAATTGTGGATCCTCATTTAATAGAGTGGCTTAGCGGCTTGTTTTATATATTTGTTATCCTTGTCCTTTGTGTTTAATATTGATTGATAATACCATGTAAAATTGTGGTATCCAGAAAATATCATGCCATATTCTTCTTCTTATTACTACAGTATTACTGTATCATCACAATAGAGCCCCATTGTAAAAACCGGTTCTAACACGTCTGCGGTTATGCAAGCCAATCTCGATGCTTTCATTTACGTAGATATAGTATAACCAGCAGTGTGATTAGAAGTAAAGTCCTCACCAACAGTGTCTGGTAAACCAGCATTACGTGTTTAGTAATCGGATTCTACTGATGAAGCCCAACAACTCGAAACTAAGTAAGAGTCTTCTTGGTTCTTTCGGTAAAGTCACGTAGAAGGGAAGTAATAAAATAATAAAAATAAAACATAATAAAATAATTCTCACGACGTTTCGGCCACAACGCAAGCAGCCGTCCTCAGGTGAAAACCAGGTCCGTCGAGGCGACAGAGTCTGAATGCGACAGAGTCTGAATGAGACTCAGACTCTGTCGCCTCGACGGACCTGGTTTTCACCTGAGGACGGCTGCTTGCGTTGTGGCCGAAACGTCGTGAGAATTATTTTATTATGTTTTATTTTTATTATTTTATTACTTCCCTTCTTCGTGACTTTACCGAAAGAACCAAGAAGATGAATCCCTGCAGTCACGAAAGCTTTAAATCGAAATTTAACTAAATAAGAGCTTAAGCAAAACGCTTCTGGCTAAACAATGGGAGATCAATCGGCCGATATACTCAAACATATATACACAGTACAATTTGTACTTAGAGATAAGAATGGAGGAAAGTGTATTCACTTACCCTGATACAACACTTGGCGCTTCACCCACAGGGCATGCTATTCAATAATGATTATGCTACAATATACAACACACAATTTACCACGCAGTTTTTATAATGGGATACTCCGTTGGTATTATACTGGATGTGTATTTCTGTTGTATGAAATCCTAGCAGCTTTTTTTTCACGGTCATTTAAGTTCTGCCGACAACCTAAACAGCAAGATGTGTTGTCGCATCCAGACATCACGACATTACCTCTCTCTCTCAATGCCCTTGTCTGCCTCCCCCTGTGACTTCTCAGATTGGCAATGTGAAGAGAGTGGTTACGCATTTCGGAATGGGCTTCTAATACAAAATGGTGGAAACTGTCTCCGTGCTCCGAGGAGTTGTGGGGAGGCGCTCCCACATTTCTATTTTGCAAACCTGAGCCAGTGGTATAAATTCCACGCTATCATGACAAGGGGCCATTCTCACCACAAGCTGACTAATGTTGACTTCCGCAACAAAAAACTTGCCAATCGTTTGATCAACCTCAGGAAGGATGGTGGGGCTGAGTTAACTAACGGGCAGCGTCATATGGTCTCAATACTACACGGAACCTACACCTCACCGGGTCCTATAGAACATAGTCGGTGTATCATAAACGATGTAACCCCTCACACTTAATGTGCTCGAATACAGGATTCCATGAACTCTACAGAATTGCAGAATCTACGGGGGATTTCATTACCTTACAATGTTTCACTACCCCCTACAAGGATTGTAATGTACAGGGTGTTATCACTCATATTATGTACAGACAAATACAAGTCAAGTTAAACTGTCTCGCTGACGATATGAGCAATAGAGTGCCACTCGTTTTCCTTTGGCAGCCCTGAACCACGAGTTGGGGTCAATTCCACACATTCCCACCCAGTCAGGATTCCTTTAACCTACCATTGAATGGCTTCCGAGATACTTTACATGTCTCCACGGAAGGGAGAACCCACTTGGGTTATGCAACAGAGATGCTGTCGTGAAGGTAATGGTCAACAAGCTGGATTCACAACCCACAAGTCTCCCGTTGGATGTTCCAGCACGGCAGTTGAAATAGTGTCTCTTAAATCTCCCTGGGCCTCTTGTCTCCCCAGCAGCACGCAGCAGTTAATCCGATAGGCAGGTCACGTGTGGTGGGGTTAAAGCGTGGATGATGCTCCCACCTCTTCCAATGTGTCTTGGCCATCATGGGAGAGTTGGCCAAATAAAACTGACAGAGGGGAACTTGTCCAGAGCTCCCTGTAATGGAAGCTCTTCCGCCAGCCGTGATGCATGCAATCAGTTGTCGGGGGGTTACGTTTCTACGCTTTAATCCGTTTTCAGATATTTCTTCCACCTGTCTGGGCCATTCTTTTCTTCCATACACACGCTTGCTCTGCAGGAGCTATGCTCTAATCGGTGAAACAAAACATCCCTCATGACACAGCAAGTGTCGTAACGAAACACATCAAGTGTGAATAGATAATTTTGAAAAGTTGTCAAAATCATTTCAAAAGTGTTTTTCTTTTTAATATATATTGTTAATATTGCAATACGGTATGCTCTGTCGCAGGTAAACTGATAGAGGGAATGTGTTTATGATCAACATGTGCCATTCATGTGCAAACAGAATGGCTCAGTGGACAATAATGTAGTGGTGATGTTATTTGTAAGTACATTATAGATAAGATTGCTGCCATTAAAATTATCTAATTTTATAAAATATATATGCAAAACTGTGTTACTGTTTCTGTTATTTTATGTTTTATGTACACAGTATGTAAGACGTGGTTGGATACGATTCATAATAGCTTTTTTGGAGTCAAATAAAGTTGCCACGTGAACAAACACGCAAATCTTGGGCCCGATTGGTCACCTGACAATGGTTTATTCGGCAGTATCAGGTGGAGCAGGGTATACGACACACATCAGCATCTTTAAAAAAAAAATCAGCTATGAATCATAACGTTGCTCACGAAAGCTTCTGTAGTGGATTGAGAATCAATCCCTTGTGCCACGGCGGTATATTTAAAGTTGTTTGCAGTTAGGGATCAGTCCGAACTGGGAGTTTTAAACTCGGGCAGCCAAAGAAACAGGAGTTTTCGGGAAAGTTCTAAAGATCTGGCCAATTGGGCACGAGTTCAACAACAGCAGCAAATACGGCTGAGAGGTAATCAGGCACGAGGCCAAATGGCTACTATCTTGCATGATCGGAGATTTCATCGCGGTCCGATTTTACAGTCAGTTATTACAGCGCCGTCAAGTTCAGTTCCAAACCGGTTCGAGCTGGGTGGCCGGGCAGCACCGCGGTAACTGAGTTCGGGGCGTTCAAGTGGCCTCCCTCCCCCCACTCCCGAGGGCACGCGGCGGCCACGATGAGTCGCCTCCTCCAACGTGCTCAGGGGCAGACGTCCACCTACTCAAAAGAAGGTCGGCAGAAGGTCCGTCCCCGCCCCGCTGCGACATATGTACGTATATGTATGTTGAACTTTTTTCGCACCGTACGTAGCCAACCGTGCGAATCGGAAAAGACAACAAACTGAACACAAAAAACAGTTCTAACTAAATTAGTTTTAAGTCTAGATTTTTAAAATGCCTTGCATAGCTCCCAGTGGCTTTCGGTTATCGGGAGGAGTGTTTCAGACGGCTTGCAGAAGTGGATCTGCAAGGGCCGCGCGACGCAGTGAGAGGGTGTTCTCAACCGCAAGTTCTCGTGTTTTAGAGAATTATATGTTGCCAGTAAGTTCACTCGAGATGTGTGTGTGTGTTGTATTATTTTTGAGTAGCCAAGGAAGTGCCCACTGTAACGGGAAGTTACTGAATAAAGACTTTGGCAATAGAAGACACACGACTCACTTCCAAGTGTCTGTGCTTCGTACTACGTTACCCACCGTTCCATCTGCCAGTCTGTCGTGAAATTGTTCACGTGAGAATCGGTTGCAAATAATGATATTGAATGCAAAAAAACATGCGAATTTTGTACAAATTATTAAGTGTGGAACCACCTGACCAGGATTGCGTAAAGACGTTGATCACTTTTCACCCAGGCAAACCGAGAGCAGACTTAGATACCGACAGTCCTCGGGTTACGAACCTAATTCGTTCCCGAAACTGGTTCGTAAGTCGAACGGTCCGTAAGTCTGAACACAACAATGTTACTGTATTTAAATGCCCAAACGGTCAGTGTTATGAAATGTGTTACGGTTCAACAAAAAGGGAAGCCATTTTCTCACAACTCACAATTAAGAACACATATTGTACATTTGCATGTAACGTTGTAAAAAAAATACTGTGTCGTAAATACAAGACAAAATAAAGTAACATAAATAGAAAACAGTTTTATTTTCATGAGTCCTAATGCGACCCTGTATTCGGAAGGGGGGAAATGAGTAACCACAATTGCACACAGACACACGGGTCACGCGCACACACACAGACACACAACACCAAAGACACGGACAAACCCAAACGACAACGATACCCTTGTCGCCTTAACAGGCTGTTGGGGCAAGTGGTGTTAGCGAGCGGCGCCGACACAGGAGGGAATGAGTAGTCAGCGCCACGCCTGACAATCGTCACTGGTGTTGATCGTGAGCGGGAATTGAACTTTGGTCTCCAGGTTGGTAGCAGAGTGCGTGAACAGTTGCACTACCACTACCCCCACACACACGTGCCCACAAAGATAAGGAACCTCCCCCGTGCCCCCGTGTAATGACAGGGTGACACCTGCTGGCCTGGAAGGGGAACTACGGGTACGGGCACGGTTAAGTAACAACCAATCAGGAAGGAGGTGTATCTGGGGCCAAGGTAACAGGTGGGGTTAGCCCAGATACTCCGGGAACCTGCTCGAAGGTTCCACGAGAGGGCGTGGCCGGAGGCGGGGCTTAGCCACGCCTGGGGGGATATCAGGGGGAGCGGACCCGGGTCTTGGGTCCTGGCTGTGTCGCTGCTCGCAGACATCTCTCTTCGTCATTCGGCCACGTGGAAGATCTCCTGCGGGGTTTCCATCGCCATCATCGTCACGCCACCAGCGAGCGGCGTAGCCGAGCGGGGGCGATGGGACCACGCCGAGTGATCGGCTGCGTGTAGCCAATAGAGACGTTAATACCTCGTGTTGCACTCAGTGTGAGAAGGAATAAGTGTTGACCTGTGTTGTGCCCAGTGTGAGTAATAAAGAAGAAGTACCCTCTACACGGCGTGTCGCGGAAGTCACCCGTATAGCCTGAACAGACTGTTGGGGCAAGTGCTGTAAGTAACACCAATGAAGGCCGGCACGGCACACGAGGGGGTAGGTGGCCAACACCACGGCCGGCCGCCTTTGTCTCCCAAGTGGTGATGTTTACACGCCACGCCAGGTACTGGTGTTGGCCGTGAGCTAGGATCTAACTTGAGTCGGCACTTTCGCAGCCCAACCTAGTAACCGCGACACTATCGCTTCTCACACACTCACACTTTCACACACACATCCGCACGCGCACACATGCACTCACTCCCAGAGCCAGACCGACTCATTACATCTCGCGGAGGATTGTGTGGTGCCACAGCGACGGGGCCGCTCTGCCGAGCCAGGGAGCCGCCCGGCTTCCCCCACCGCACTGCCCCCCATCACCCGCCCCACATAAGCACACACCCGCACGC